TATCCTCATGTTGCTGATGTGTGCTTGTTGAAAGTGGTATGTAATTGGATTTTAATAATTTGCTTTGACATTTTAGTCTTTGAACTGGAGCATTTACATTTACTGCAGTTACTGATACATTCAGTTTTCCATTTGTTCCCTTGTTCTGACTTTCCTCTCTGTTTTTCCTTTCTTTTAAGTTCAACTAATGGTATTAAAAATGTAGTAATGTTGCACTTTTTTTTTTTACTGGCTATCTTAAAATGGAGTTTGGCAGTCTTTTCTGCGAAAGGCTGGATGGTAGAATTTTGGACTCAGGATCGTATGGTCTTTGTCGGAACCACTCAGTTCTGACAGTGTAGTGCAGACAGCACCCAAAGATATCAGGTGAAGGAGTAAGCTGTACTTAGGAGATGGGACAATGGAATCAACCATAATAGGGGCTGGCACTGTGGGGTAGTGGGCTAAGCCTCTGCCTGTGTCCTCTGCATCCAATATGGGTGTCAGTTTGTGTCCCAGCTGCTCCTCCTCTTTTTTTTTTTTTTTAAGAGTTATTTATTTGAAAGTCAGAGTTACACAGAGAGAAGGAGAGGCAGAGAGAGAGAGGGAGGGAGAGAGAAGAAGAGAGAGAGAGAGAGGTCTTCCATTCTGCTGATTCACTCCCCAAATAACCGCAACAGCCAGAGCTGAGCTGATGCGAAGCCAGAAGCCTGGAGCTTCTTCTGGGTCTCCCATGTTGGTGCAGGAGCCCAAGGACTTGGGCCATCTTCTACTGCATTCCCAGACCATAGCAGAGAGCTGCATCGGAAGAGGAGCAGCTGGGACTTGAACCAGCGCCCATATGGGATGCTGTCGTTGCAGGCTGGGCTTTTAACCTGCTATTCCACAGTGCCGGCCCCTTCTCTTCTGATCTAGCTCTCTGCCTAGGGCCTGGGAAGGCAATGGAGGATGGCCAAGTTTGGGCCCCTGCACCCGTGTGGGAGACCTGGAGGAAGCTCCTGGTTCCTGGCTTTAGATCAGCCCAGCACTGGACGTTGTGGCCATTTAGGGAGTGAACCAGCGGATGGAAGACCTTTTTTTCTCTCTCTCCATTTGTCTGTCTGTAGTTCTACCTCTCAAATTAAAAAAAAAAAAAATCTTAAATAAAAATCAACCACATAGAAGAACACTGTATTGAAAACTATAGAGAGTAGTATTTTTATTTGTAGAATGGTGTTGTGGCTCTCTTTAGAGAGTTGGGAAAGGAGTAAACCTATCAGGGAGATTGAAAGAGAAGTAACCGTCCTGGGAGAGCAGTTTCAAGATCTAGAAGGTGGCTGCCTTCATTAGGTGCTGTGCGTGTGGGATGTTGACATGAGGACAAGATGCAGATTTTGATTGGACAACTCTGTGGTAATTGGTGACTATCTCAAAGAACCCTGCCAGTAGCTTTCAACGCGGGAAGAATAGTAGGAGGTAGAGAGCGGTTCCCGAGCACTTGGTGATATAGTGATTCCCAGATGGTATCTCTGGATGAGTAGTAACAGAATGGCCTAGATTTTCCTGACTCAGAATTATTACTGGGCCTGGAAATGTAGGTTTTTAAAAGATTCACTAGGGGCTGGCGCCATGGCACAGTGCTGGCATCCCATATGGGCGCCACCAGTTCAAGTTTGGGCTACTCCACTTCCGATCTGGATCTCTGCTATGGCCTGGGATAGCAGTAGAAGATGGCCTGCAGGCCGGCACTGTGGCATAGTGGGTTAACGCCCTGGCCTGAAGCACCAGCATCCCATATGGGTGCTGGTTCTTGTCCCAGCTGCTCCTCTTCTGATCCAGCTCTCTGCTGTGGCCTGGGATAGCAGTAAAAGATGGTCCAAGTCCTTCGGCCCCTGCACCCGCGTGGGAGACCTGGAAGAAGCTCCTGGCTTCGGATCAGCACAGCTCCAGCCATTGCAGCCATCTGGAGAGTTGAACCAGTGGATGGAAGACCTCTCTGTCTTTAAAAAAAAAAAAAAAAAAAAATAGAAGAAGAAGAAGAAGAAGATGGCCTGAGCGCTTGGGCCTCTGCACCCACGTGGGAGACCCGGAAAAAGCTCCTGGCTTCAGATTGGCCCAGCACCAACCATTGTGGCCATTTGGGGAGAGAACCAGTGGATGGAAGACCTTTCATTCTGTCTCTCTCTCTCACTGCTATAAATCTACCTCTCCAATAAATAAAAATAAAAATCTTAAAAAAAAAGATTCCCCAAAGGATTGTTATCAGTGCTTACCCTTGGGAATTACAAATGTAGATTTTTCAAGAGACTTAGTGAGGATGGGCATGCCATCAAGATGGGTTTTTGATAATTTGAGGCAACCTTTCTTCAAACATCAAACGATTGATAAAATAACAGGAAGAAAAAAAATACCAAATTGACAGGAGTAGGGCTTAAAAGAAGATGAATGTCTTTGTTCTGGAAAGAGAACAGAATGTAATGCCATGAGTGGGATATTGCTAGGGGCCTGCAGGTAAAGCAGCCGCAGGTTTGCCTTTGGAGGCAGTTAGGGCTAGGGCTTATGATTGAAAACCGTAGGCCAGGATTCTGAATTTAGTTCTAGGGTTGTCATGTTATTCAGCTGTAGGGATTGGATTGTAGTTAACTAGGTCATCTTCTGCAGTGGTATAGGCCACAGCATCCTGATTGTGAGGCTTCTGCTGACTACTGTCTGAGGCCACAGCTTGTATGAAGCTGTGTATGTCGGGATTTAGGAGGCCACAAATGTGGCTTTACACTGAGGAACCTACTACTATCCAGGGAACATCCTCATTGTTACTGCAGAGCAGATTCTCCTGCTTTGACCAGAATAGCTATAACTGGAGAAATTTGAACACTGTTTAATATTAATATTAAAATTATTAATTTTAAAGGAACGATTATGATGAATGTTTTTTAAAAAAGATTTATTTATTTGTAAGAGTCAGAGGAAGAGGCAGGGAGAGAGAAGTCTTCCATCCCCTGGTTTACTCCCCAAATGGCCGCAAAGGCCTGGAGCCAGGAGCTTCACCAGGATTTCCCTCATGGGTGCAGAGGCCCAAGGATTTGGGCCATCCCTTGCTCCTTTCCCAGGTGTGTTTGCAGGGAGCTGCATTGGAAGTGGAGCAGCCAGGACTCAAACCGGTGTCCACATGGGATGCTGATGCTGCAGGCCGCGGTTTTACCTGCTACGCCACAGTGCTGGCCCTAATGTGTTTGTTTTTAAAAATTAGTGAACAGTGCATTTTTGGTGTTTGTATGAAAAACAAAACGATGTCCCATTAAAAGTACACAGGGAAGCTGCCATTGGTGCACTGATTAAGATGCTGCTTGGTAAGCCCACGTTCCATATTGGAGTGCCTGGGTTCAAGTTCCTGGTTCTGCTTCTGATTCTGTTTACTGCCAGTGTGCATGCTGGGAGGTAGCAGGTAAAGGGTCAAGTACTTGGATTTCTGCCACTCCATCTGGGTGGAGTTTTGGGCTGCTAGGTTCGGCCTGGCCCAGCTGTTGTGGGCATCTGGGGAGTGAACCAGCAGATAGAAGATCTTTGTCTCTTTGCCTGTCTCTCTCTGTCATCTCTCTGCCTTTCAAACAATAAATAAAGTACAACTGTTAATTTCAGTTCTCAAAACATGAAGCCATCTGATGTTCAGGAAAATACAAAATTAACAGAAGTATGGATGGACAAATAGATCAGTGGAACAGAGCGCAGAGCTTGGAAAATTGACAAAGGGGCATTTTAAATTCATGGGGAAGGAGCAGAGGATTCAGTGTGGTACTGCTTCAATTGATAATCAGAGTTGGAGTAAAAGAAATTAAGAGCCCTGTCTTAAAGCATCTTGAAAGGTGAGGCCTTCAAAAAACAAACAAAATAAAGTTTAGGCCTTTGAAGACATGTAGGAAAACTTTTTTTTTTTAAGATTTTTTTTTTTTTTTTGAAAGAGAGTGAGAAAGAGATCTTGTGTCTTTCGTTTTACTCCCCAAATAGCTGTAACAGCTGGGGCTGGGCCAGGCCAAAGCCAGGATCCAGAAACTCCATCCAGGTCTCTTACATGAGTGGCAGGGGCCCAAAGCACTTGGGCCATCTGCTGTCTACCAGGAAACAATGGTATTTCACGAGTGGGGAATCTTTTTTCTACCAAGGGCCATTTAAGATACTCATAATACCAGTTGCAGGCCATACAAAATTACTGGGTTAAAAATTAGCTTGCTGTAAATTTATTGAATTTTGAGTCCCACCTGTGGTTGCCTTGGCAAGGCTACTCCAAATGGTTCAGTGGGTTTATGTTGTGGGCCAGACTAGATTGCTTGCTTCCCATCTCAACCTTATCGCATTCCAGTTATGACTTTGGGCAAGTTATGTAATCTTTCTGCACTTGTCTTCTCATTTGTAACATGAAGATAACGGTGATAAAAACCACCCTCAGGGAGGCATTGTGAAGATGAACTGAACTTCTGAAGTGCTTAGAAATATGAGAATGATGGCCGGCTCCGCAGCTCACTTGGCTAATCTTCCACCTGAGGCGCCAGCCCACCGGGTTCTAGTTCTGTCCCGGTTGCCCCTCTTCCAGTCCAGCTCTCTGCTGTGGCCTGGGAAGGCAGTGGAGGATGGCCCAAGTGCTTGGGCCCTGCACCCCATGGGAGACCAGGAGAAGTACCTGGCTGCTGTCTCTGGATCAGCATGGTGTGCCAGCCGCAGCGGCCATTGTGGGGTGAACCAATGGAAAAGGAAGACCTTTCTCTCTGTCTCTCTGTCTCTCTCTCACTGTCCACTCTACCTGTAAAAAAATAAATAAATAAAAAGAAATATATTTTTTTGGTGAGTTATTTTGGAAAGCTCCTTGATTTGGACAGTAAAACTTAATATTATGTAGTCTCAGTGAGACAGTTTTCAAGACTGTTCCTATTGCAAGAGTTAGGATTTTGTGTTCTAAAAGATGTAATCAGCATGTCTACTTTCTTTCCTGAGCATTGGAAAGCAGTGCGTCCCGTGGGTGCTGAATGTCCACCTCTTTCCTGTTGCAGCTCGTGTGCTGAGAAGATGGTCTGCAGAGTTCTGGAGACACACCGCCCGTGCTGATGGGACAGGGTCCAATATGAGCGTGAGTGATGGAGGGAGGCGACGCCTGGAGGATAGTGAGCACACGTTACGGGTCTATCCCGGGACCATTTCAGAAGGGACCATCTACTGTCCAGTCCCGGCTAGGAAAAGCTCCACAGCTGCCGAGGTGATCGACTGTCTTATAGACAGACTTCGTCTTGACAAAACAAAATGTTACGTGCTGGCCGAGGTAAAGGAATTTGGGGGAGAAGAATGGATACTCAACCCAACAGACTGTCCAGTGCAGCGAATGCTGCTGTGGCCTCGCATGGCTCTGGAAAATCGCCTGAGTGGCGAGGACTACCGTTTCCTTCTGAGAGAGAAAAACCTCGATGGGTCTATCCACTACGGTAGCCTGCAGTCATGGCTGCGGGTGACAGAGGAGCGGCGCAGGATGATGGAGCGGGGTTTTCTTCCTCAGCCACAACAGAAAGAATTTGATGACTTGTGTAGTTTACCTGATTTGAATGAGAAAACTCTCTTAGAAAATCTACGAAATCGCTTTAAGCAAGAAAAAATTTATACCTATGTTGGCAGTATTCTAATAGTTATTAACCCATTCAAGTTTCTTCCTATTTATAACCCCAAGTATGTCAAAATGTACGATAACCACCAGTTGGGCAAGCTTGAGCCGCACATTTATGCCGTGGCGGATGTAGCTTACCACGCCATGCTGCAGCGCCGGAGAAACCAGTGCATTGTCATTTCCGGAGAGAGTGGTTCTGGGAAGACTCAAAGCACGAACTTTCTTATTCACCATCTGACTGCTCTAAGTCAGAAAGGTTTTGCCAGTGGGGTAGAACAAATTATTCTTGGAGCCGGACCAGTGCTGGAGGTAAGAGTATAGAAATATTATTGTTAAACTTATCTTTACAAAATTTTTGGTATATGGGAGAAATTGAAATGGAAATATAGACATAATTTTTAGTAAAACTAAAATTTTTAGGGACCTAAAAGATGGGAAAACCAAAAAGGTAGTGTGAAGATTGAAGAGTATGATAATAGTATTTTTTTTTTTAAAGAGGGTCTTTGTCTTTGGATCATTAGTGTTACAAAGAAATAAATGAGTAGAGTCATATCTGTCCCCTTATGAAGGGAGAAGCAGGGGCAGGTGTTTTTGTGAAGTGGTTAAGATGCCTTTTGGGGCCGGTGCTGTGGCTCAATAGGCTAATCCTCTGCCTTGCGGCGCCGGCACACCGGGTTCTAGTCCCGGTCGGGGCGCCGGATTCTGTCCCGGTTGCCCCTCTTCCAGGCCAGCTCTCTGCTGTGGCCAGGGAGTGCAGTGGAGGATGGCCCAAGTACTTGGGCCCTGCACCCCATGGGAGACCAGGAGAAGCACCTGGCTCCTGCCATCGGATCAGCGCGGTGTGCCCGCTGCGGTGCGGCCGGCTGCAGCGTGCCGGCTGTGGTGGCCATTGGAGGGTGAACCAGTGGCAAAAAGGAAGACCTTTCTCTCTGTCTCTCTCTCACTGTCCACTCTGCCTGTCAAAAAAAAAAAAAAAAAAAAGTGACTGGGGAAAATATTCTTGGAATTGAGAAAAATGTTTAGTTTTAGATGGTTTTAAAAGTACTATCAAGTGTTGTAAGGACAGAGAATGCATAAAGGCAGATACCATATGATTTCACTTAATATGTGGAATCTAAAAAAAATCAGACATATAGAAACAGATTATAAATTGGTGATGACCAAAAGCTGGAGGTTGGGAGAGTGGCCAGAGACACACACACTTTCAGTTAGATGGGAGGAGTAAGCTTGAGAGACCTATTTTCCTCATGGTGACTATGGTAATGTATTATATACTTGGGAATTTTCTGAGTAGATTTTGAAATGTTCTTTCAAAGACCACAAAAAGTGGTAAGTATATGAGAATTCATTTTTTATTTTTCAGGATTATTTATTTTGAAAGGCAGAGTTATGCAAGAGGAGACACTCAGAGAGAGAATCTGCCATCCACAGTTCAGTCCCCAAATGGCTACAGTGGCCATGGCTGGGACAGATTGAAGCCGAGAGCTTCTTCTGGGTCTCTGGTGCAGCGGTCCAAGGACTTGGACCATCTTCTGCTTTCCCAGGCGCGTTAGCAGGGAGCCAGATTGGAAGCGAGGATTTTGGGAAAGGCAGTGGAAGATGGCCCAAGTGCTTGGGCCCCTGCTGCCAACATGGAAAACCTGGAGAAAGCACCTGACTCTTGGCTTTGTCCTGGCCCAGAGCTGGCCATTGTGACCATCTGGGAAGTGACCCAATGGATGTTGTCTCTTGGTCTCTCTCTCTCTGTCTGGAACTCTGATTTATTTCAAATAAATAATCTCAAAAAAAAAAAAAAGTAGCTGAAATTTGAAGTGACACTCTCATGGGTTTTGGACATCCCAGGTAGAAGTTAAACGGAGGAGCCATGATACCAGTCCTTGTATTTCAGTTCTTTTTGATGCTACTGTTGATGGAATTTTTAAAATGCTGCTTGTTTTATTGCTAGTAGATACAAATATAATGGATTTATATTGCTTTTTTCCCCACTTGTTGAGTTTATTTGCTCAGATAATTTTTGAATATTTTCGAAAATTATTTATTTATCTGAGAGGCAGATTAATAATGAGAGTGTGAGGCAGAGAGATCTCCCCTCAGCTGTTCCCTTCCCCAGATGCCCACAGTGGCCTTGACTGGGCCAGGCTGAATCCAGGTCTTCCACATGAGTGGCAGGAACCTGATTATTTGAGTTATCAACACTGCCTGTCAGACTCTGCTTAGCAGAAAGCCTGTCAGGAGCTGGAGCTGGGAGCTGTACCCAGGGGCGTCTTAACCCTCAAATGGCTACCTCTCAAATAGTTTTTTTTGTGTCCAATGATGCTTTGAAACATTCGTGGAAGATGCATATTATGAAAAAACCCTGCATGGATGTCAAATTATTGTGTTTTTTTGGCCCCAAAGTAAACTTATCTTTTAATTCTGTTTCTCTGCAGAGTTTTTGAAGTTGCTTAATTCTTTCTTTTTCTTTTTCTTTTTTTTTTTAAAGATTAATTGCTTTATTTGAAAGAGTTACACAGAGAAGGAGAGGCAGAGAGAGAGAGAGAAGTCTTCCATCTGCTGGTTCACTCCTTAGTTAGCCGCAACAGCAGAGCTGTGCTGATTCGAAGCCAGGAGCCTCTTCCGGGTCTCCCATGCGGGTGAAGGGGCCCAAGGTCTTGAGCCATCTTCCACTGCTTTCCTAGGCCATAGCGGAGAGCTGGATTGGAAATGGAGCAGCAGGACTTGAACAGGTGCACATATGGGCACTGCAGGCGGTGGCTTTACCTGCTATGCCACAGCGCCGGCCCCTGAAGTCCACTAGTATTTCTTAGCATTTTCTTCTACAAGACTCTGTCATTTATGAATTGAAAGTTTTACTTTTCCTTTCAGCAGATGAAAGATCTCCCTCATTCACTCCCTCCCTCCCTCCCTCCCCCCTCTCTCCCCCTCTCCATCTCTTTCTGTGTCTGCCTTTCAAATTAATAAATCTTCAATTTGCGGTATTTTTTGAAATAAAAAAAGCTTTATTGTGTTTCCTTAAAAAAACAACCTGGATAAATCACAAAGAAAAACTTTTAAATAAGGAAAGATCAGCCTCAAAACTTTGCAAACACATGATTCCATTTTTATGACATTCTCAAACAGGAAGGAACAACAGTAGAGAACAAGCAAGTGATAGCCACAACGTATGGAAGTAGGGCAGATCAGAGTATGAAGACAAGGATTATCATGAGGAGTTTATATGGTAGTGAAGGTTACACAGATTTATGTTTTAAAATTCACAGAATTTTATTGTATGATTTTTTTTTAAAGTTTAACAACTTTTTAAAAAGGTGTCATTTAAAAACGAAGGCAAAGGGCCAGCATGATGGTGCAGGAGCTGACTTGCCATCTGAAACAACAGCATCCCTATCAGAGTGACCATTCAAGTCCTGGCTGGTCTACCTCTGATCCAGCTCCCTACTAATGTGCCGGGGAAAGCGGTGGAGGGTGGACTGTGTGCTTAGATCCCTGTCACCCACGTAGGAGACCTGGGTTCCCTTTTTCTTTTTATTTCTAATTGTCCTGACTAGAAAGTCAAAGACATTAATTGAATAGAATTGGGCACAGCAGACATTCAAGTGTTCTTTTTTATTATAGAGGGAAACCTTTCATTTTTTTCACTATTAAGTTTGTTGTTAATAGATGTCTTTAATCAGGTAGAGAAAGTTCCATATGATTCACAGCTAGTTGAGTATTTTTGTCATGAAAGGATTTTACATGCTTTTTCTGCATGTAAAATGATTATATAGTTTTCATTCTTTTGTCTTAATATTATGTGTTACATTTTTTCCCTGAATTTATTATTTGAGTATTTTGTTCATTTTGTTTGTTCTCTGTTCCTAAAAGTTTGCCTTGTTACTGATACTGTCCAAGAACCAACTTTGATTTTATTAATTGTCTTTATGTCTATTTATTTCCCCTGTGTTTTGGTTTTATTTTATTTATTGGTTTTTCTTGTCTGTTTACTTCCCCTCCGTATTTCTTCTGGTTGTTTTTACATTTGTGTTTTCTGTTTTCTTACAGTGGCAGTTTAGTTTATTATTTGGAATCTTTCTAATAGAGTCTCATGCAGCTATTGAGTTCTGAGATTTTCCTTACTCTGTTCTGTGCGTACTTTGTATGGTGTGTCTTTGTTTTCATTCATCTTGGATTATTTTCTCATTTTCCTGTGGATTTTCTTTTTGATCAATTGCTGATTCTTCTACTTTTTCATGTCTTAGTTTGAGCCTCTCTAGTGAATTTTTCCTTTTAGTTGATATCAATCTTCTGTCGGCTGGTCACTTCCCAAATGCCTGTCCACAGGCTGGTCTGGGCCAGGCCAAGGCCAAGAGCCTGGAACTCCATTGGGGTCTGCCACATGGATGGCAGGTGCCCAAGTAAGTGGGCCATCATCTGCTGCTTTCCAGGATGCATTTGTAGGAAGCTGGATCCAGAAGTGAAGGAGCCGGGACTAGAACTGCATTCCCATATGACCGTTTAACCTGCTGTGCCGCCGTGCCTGCCTCAAGCTGTTTTTCTTGATTAAATCCCCTGCCTAAGGATTGTTAGAAGCTTTTGGTTAATTTTGAATTCTTAAATTGTTGACTTTGACAATTTTTTGGTCAGTGTTCTTGTTTCTTCTATGAACGGGGGAGTCTTCAGAGCTCCTTACTCTGCCATTTTTATGGACCTCACTTTGAATGATCTTTTCAAGAGATTTAAATAAAACAGTTTGTATGTTCAGTGTGGTAAGCACCTCTGTTGTTACTCTTGCCTGCTGTATATCCATCTTTCAGTATGGAAATAGGAGTAGTTCATTACACACCCATGTCTTATCTCTAAGCTTATGTATTTATTTTGCTAAAATACAAACATTGGACATTTAAGTGAGTATTTCTTTGATGAAATTGACATTGCAACATTTTATGATTCTTTGCTGTGTTAAGTTTTCAGAATTTCGTGTGGTAGAGAGGGAAAAGGCAGAGTGGAGTAAACTGTGCTGTTCAAGCCTCACCAAGGCTACACTCTGTATAGCAGTCACAGATGGTTGGGTGGTGGTTGAAAGCCTGGGCTCTTCCAATCACTACTTAAATACAGTGGAATCAAGGCTTTGTGAGGGGTGTTTCTTGAGATTTTCATTAATTTACTATTCTTTTTTTTAAATATTTTATTTATTTAAAAAGATTATTTTATTTATTTGAAAGGCACAGTTGGAGAGAGACAGGGAGACAGAGAGGTCTTCCATATGCTGGTTCACGCTCCAGATGGCCGCAACAGCCAGGGCTGGTCTAGGCTGAAGCCTGGAGCCAGGAGATTATCCTGGGTCTCCCATGTGGGTACTGGAACCCAAACACTTGGGCCATCCTCTGCTGCTTTCCCAGGTGCATTAGCAGGGAGCTGGATCAGAAGTGGAGCAGCTGGGACTTGAACTGTAGCCCATATGGGATGCCAGCTCTGCCGGCCGTGGTTTTAACCTGTTGTGCCACAATGCCAGCCCCAATAATTTCATTCTTAATACTGATGAAAATGTAGTTGCACAGGAATGTAATTGCGTGCATACTAAGTAGAATAGTGGTTCTCAAACTTGAGCTCACATTAGACATAGGAAGGTGTTGTGTAGACCTTTTCCTCAGATACTCTGATTCAGTTGTTCTTGAGGAACATAAGAACTTGTGTTTCTTGCAGATTTTCAGGTGATGCTGTTCCTTGTGGTCTTGACCACACTTTGAGAACTGTGGGAGATGTGAGTTTACCTCCTCACCTGTGTTGTGTGTGTTTGTGTGCGCCTGTGTGCTCTGCAGAGTTACACTTTAGCACACATGTGACTTTGCATTTAGATCTTAAGTACCTGGCTTATTCTTTTAGAGTTAGTGGACATGCCCTGCAGTGAATTGTCTCTGTTTTCTAGCCTTGTTTCTTCAAATAGGAGGTGAATGGTTTAGCCTGCCTTGTTTTTTACATTTACATTTAATAAATTTTATTGTTATAACATACAATAAAATGTATACATTTAAAATGTATCTTGATGAGTTTTTTTAAAAGATTTATTTATTTATTTGGAAGGCAGAATTAGAGAGAGAGAAAGAGATACTTTCCATCTGCGGGTTCACTCCCCAAGTGGCTGCAACAGCCAAGGCTCTGCCAGGCTGAAGCCAGGGAACAGGAGCCAGGGGCTTATTCTGAGTCTTCCCCCTGGGTGTGGGGGCCCAAGCACTTGGGCCATCTTGTGATGCTTTCTCAGGGAACTGGATCAGAAGTGGAGCAGTGGGGTCTCGAACTGGTGCCTATATGGGATACAGGAGTCACAGGTGGTGACTTTACCCACTATGCCACCGCACTGGCCCCTTGGCAAGTTTTGATGCCCATGTCACCACCATGAAACAATCAAGGCGTAGGATATCTTCAATACCCCTGTGCCCCTGTGTGTGTGTGTATGTATGTTTAAAAGATTTATTGCCAGGGCTGAGCCAGGCTGAAGCCAGGAGCTTCATCCTGGTCTTCCACATGGGTGGCAGGGGCTCAAACACTTGAGTCATCTTCTGCTTCTTTTCCCAAGCCATTAGCAGGGAGCTGAATTGGAAGTGGAGCAGCCAGGACTCCAGCTGGCGCCCATACGGGATACAGGTTTTGCAGGAGGTGGCTTTATCTGCTATTCCAAGACCGCCCCCATCCCAACCCGTGCCTCTTTGTAGACAGTTTTCCGTCCCAGCCCATTCCTAGAATTCCTCTGATCTGCTTCCAGTTACTGTTGCTTTTTGTTTTTTTCATATAAATGGATTATATAATGTGTAGCCTGTTTTTGGCTTCTACTGCTTAGAAAATGTTTATATTAATCGGTGTTGATACTAGTGTCATTAGTTCACATTGCTGGGCAGTATTACTTTCATGGTACACTTATCTTGGGTAATAATTGTGGGAGCTTGTGATTGTTACTCTTTTGTAGTAAGTATGGTTTGTTTTAAAGAGGTAAGATGTTTAGAAAATGCAACTGTATTAAGAAGTTTTACTGGCCCTGAAATGAGAAAGAGAAATCTGAACTTTAAGAGCACTCAGTTACTTCATTTCTTTAATTTTACCTGAACAAGGACTACAAGTTTGAATTTAGAGTGGATTGTCTTTCCACTTTCTTCGGCATCATGTCTCTTTGAAGTGACCTAAATAGCAGTTAAAAAATATAGATTTATCTTTTAAATAAAACTTACTACAGTTGTTTATTTTGACAGGCCTTTGGAAATGCGAAGACAGCTCATAATAACAATTCAAGTCGCTTTGGCAAGTTTATTCAAGTCAATTACCAGGAAACAGGCACAGTACTTGGGTAAGTACATTACTTAATGGTAGTGTTATGTTTTTATGATTATTATTACCCCTTTATAAACTGTGGGCTGTTCATTGACTCTTTAATGAGGATAGTGACATTGATATTTGCATTAAAATTATTTTGAACTTCTTTTGAAAAAGTCAAAACTCACAAAAGTAATACTCATACACCTTTACCCTAAATTTATTGTTATTAATTTGCTCTTTATGTTTTGCATGCATTCATTTGAATTGTTTTCAGATAAGTTAAACTATATATAGTTTGACCCACCCCATTACTGTAGTTCCCAAAACAACCACATTTTTCTACTTCGCCATATCACTATTACTGTATTCAAGAAATTTAATTTTTTTACATGAATAAGTCTTATTTTTCAGTCTGCGGTCAGAGTCCTCTGGTTGTGCCAGCAATGTCCTTTATAGCTTTTTAAAGAAATTGGTAGACTTTGCTTCTTAGAGTGTTTTTAGGTTCTCAGCAGACATACGTAGTAACTGCACAGGGCCCCAGACATGCCTTTGTGTCTGCATACTCCCCTCTCAATGTCTCCTGTTAACAAACATGCATTAGTGTTTCTTCTAGTTGGTACTCCACTGCTGATACATTCTTATTACCTCTAAAGCCCATGATTTGCCTTCATGGTCACTCAGTGTTGTCCATCCTGAGAATTTTGACACTTAACGTAAAAGACCTGTAGTCACTGTTACAGGTCAGCACAGAATAATCTCACTTCCTCAAAATCTTGTGTGTCCCTACTAACTGGTAATCATTTTTAATGATTTTTTAAAAGATTTACTTATTTATTTGAATGTCAGTGATACAGAAAGAGAAGGAAAGTCAGAAAGAGAGAGAGAGAGAGAGAGGTGTCTTCCATCTGCGGATTCATTCCCCAGTTGGCCGCAACGGCCAGAGCTGCACTGACCAGGAGCCAGGAGCCAGGAGCTTCTTACAGGTCTCCCACATTGGTGCAGTGACCCAAGGATATGGGCCATCTTCTACTGCTCTCCCAGGACACAGCAGAGAGCTGGATTGGCAGTGGAACACTGGGTCTTGAACTGACGCCCATTTGGGATGTCAGGCACTGCAGGCGGTGGTTTTACTGGCTACGCCACAGTGCCGGCCCCACAACTAGTAATCTTTTCATGATCTCCATGGTTTTATCTTTTACAGATTGTTGCATGGTTGGAATTACATACTATAGGTAGCTTTTTCAGATTAGTCTTTCCCTTAGCTCCATGTTTTTCCTTGGCTTTGCTCTTATTGGATTAACGTTAAATTTGCATAGTAATTTGGAAAAAATTGGCACCTTTAGAATATCTTAATTTTTGGTGTTTCTTGTTGAGTTTATTAAGTATTTTAATGTCTTTTTATTACATGATTTTCTTGTATAATATTTTCTAATTATGCATTGTTTATATTTATATTTTCTAGTTTTATATTAAAGCTATAGATTTTTGATATTTTATATCCTTACTAAATTATCTTGTTGTTCGTGTTAGTTCTTTTATTGCTTCTCATAGATACATCTGAAAAAACAGTTTTATGTTTTTTTCAGTTTTGTCTTCTGATTATTTTCTTTTTTTATTAAGTTTTATTTATTTTTTAAAAAGATTTATTTGTTTTATTTGAAAGGCAGAATTACAGAGAGGCAGAGGCAGGGAGAGAGAGAAAGAGAGAGGTCTTCTATCTACTGATTCACTCCCCAGGTGGCCTCAATGGTCAGAGCAGCACCGATCTGAAGCCAGGAGCTTCTTCTAGGTCTTCCACTGGGTGCAGGGGCCCAAGCACTTGGACTGTCTTCCACTGCTTTCCCAGGCCAGAGCAGAGAGCTGGATTGGACGTGGAGCAGCTGGCACTGCAGGTGGAGGCTTTAACCACTACATCACAGCACTAGCCCATCTTACTATTTTCTATCTTGTCTTATTTTCTTGTGACAATATTCTCTGCTAAGTAAAATACTGGCTTTGGGATCTTCTATCAAGTTAACCATTTAAGCATCTTATTTATTTTTTTCCCAATTTTTATTTAAGGAATGCAAACCTCATACAACTTTAGGAATTTTATTTTATTTTAAAAATGTTTTATTTCCTTTTTATTAAGAGTGAGAGACAGAGAAAACAGAGAAAGAGAGGAGAGATTAAGAGAGGGAGAAACAGAAAGATGGGGATATTAGAGAGAGTTCCCATCCACTGGTTTACTCCCAAAATGCCTGTAATGACTGGCGTGTGTGTGTGTGTGTGTGTGTTTATTTATATATGTGAGAGGTAGAGTTACACAGAGTAGGAGAAACAGAGAAAGGTCTTCCATCCACTCGTTTACTCCCCAAATGGCTGCAGTGGGTGGAGCGGAGCTGAACCAGTCTGAAACCAGTAGCCAAGAGCCTTGTGCAGGTGCAGAGGCTCAAAGACTTGGACCATCTTCCACTGTTTTCCCAGGCCATAGAGAGCTGGATCACAAGAGGAACAGCTGAGATACAAACTGGTGCCCATATGGGATACCAGTGCCACAGGCAGAGGCTTAGCCTACCATGCCACAGCGCCAGAATGGTTGGTTTTGGGCCTTGCTTGGGCTGTGAGCTGGTAACTCAACCCAGGCATGGGTTTCAGGAACCCGGTCACTTGAGCCTTCCCCACTGCCTCCCAGGGTCTGCACTGGCGGGAGGGCTCCAGAGCTGGAGCCAAGTATTAAACCCAGACGCCGCAGTAGGGGATGTGGGCATCTGAACCAGGCTCTTCACCAGCAGGCCAAATGCTCAGGTTTCGTTTGCGTGAGTGTGTGTGTTAGTCGAGGGTACTGAGTTTTATCAAAGGCCTCTCTGGTGTCTGGAGATAAATACGTGCTCCATCCAGGTGTTTATTAGTGTTGTGGTTGTTTCTTCTTCTCCCAGGATTCAACCATTTTGCATTCCTGGAAAGAACCTCAGCTGGTCAGTACAAACATGCATACACCTAGATAGACATAATACGCATACTTTGTTTTTTTTTTTTTTTTTTTTTTTGGACAGGCAGAGTGGACAGAGAGAAAGGTCTTCCTTTTCCGTTGGTTTACCTCTCAGTGGCCGCTGCGGCTGGCGCACTGCACTGATCCGAAGGCAGGAGCCAGGTGCTTCTCCTGGTCTCCCATTCCGGCGCAGCCTCCACTGTACTCCCGGGCCACAGCATAGAGCTGGACTGGAAGAGGAGCAACCGGGACAGAATCCGGTGCCCCGACCGAGACTAGAACCTGGGGTGCTGGCGCCGCAGGCGGAGGATTACCCTATTGAGCCACCGCACCAACCTAATACGCATACTTATTAAAATCGGTTGTGGGCTGGTGCCGCAGCTCAGTAGGCTAATCCTCCGCCTTGCGGCACCGGCACACCGGGTTCTAGTCCCGGTTCTAGTCCCGGTTGGGGCGCCGGATTCTGTCCAAGCCAGCTCTCTGCTGTGGCTCTCTGCTGTGGCCAGGGAGTGCAGTGGAGGATGGCCCAGGTGCTTGGGCCCTGCACCCCATGGGAGACCAGGAAAAGCACCTGGCTCCTGCTATCGGATCAGTGCGGTGCGCCGGCGCAGCGCGCCAGCCACAGCGGCCATTGGAGGGTGAACCAACGGCAAAAGGAAGACCTTTCTCTGTCTCTCTCTCTCACTGTCCACTCTGCCTGTCAAAAAAAAAAAATTTGGTTGTGAGTGGCCAGCGCAGTGGTGCAGTGGATTAAAGCCCCAGCCTGCAGTGCCAACATCCCATATGGGCACTGGTTCGAGACTCGGCTACTCCACTTCTGATCCACCTCTCTGCTATGGGAAAGCAGTAGAAGATGGCCCAAATCTTTGGGTCCCTGCACCTGCGTGGGAGACCTGGAAGAAGCTCCTGGCTCCTGGCTTTGGATCAGCTCAGCTCTACCTGTTGCAGTCATCTGGGGAGTGAGCCAGTGAAGTGGAAGACCTCTGTCTGTCTGTCTGTCTCTCTCTCTCTCTCTCTCTCGTGAGCCAGTGAAATGGAAGACCGACCTCTCTCTCCCTCCCTCCCTCCCTCCCTCCCTCCCTCCTTCCCTCCCTCCCCATTTCCCTGTAACTCTCTTTCAAATAAATAAAATAATTTTTTAAAAGAAATTGGTTGTGTTCTGCCTGCTACTTTTAGCTCATGATTTTTTGACTGTATTAGTTGATATTGATCTGTAGTTTTTTTTTTCTTAAGATTTATTTATTTATTTGACAGAGAAAGAGACAAAGACCTAGATCTTCATCCACTGGTTCATTCCTTAAATGGCTGCAGCATGCTGGCACTGCAGGGAACGCTTTGCCTACTATGCTACAGTGCCGGCCCCCATCTGTAATTTTTTTAAATGCCAGTTTGATTATGCTTAAGTCTTACTACTTTACACCTGCATTTAAATTTTAAAATTTTGACCTGAACTGTATTCCTACACTCTACTACCTAAGCCAAAACCTGTTAAAAAAAAGAAAAGCAAAAGACTACCTAAAATGTTAAAAATTTTTCAGGGCTGGCACTGTGGTGTAGCGGAGGACGCTCTTGACTCCTGGCTTTGGATCAGTTCGGCTCCGATGGTTGAGGCCAATTGGGGAATGAACCAGCAGATGGAAGATATCTCTCTCTCTCTCCCCACCTCATTCTGTCTCCATATAACTGACTTTCAAATAAATAAATAAATCTTTTAAAAAATTGTTAAGCTTTTTCTTATGTCATTGAACAAAAATTTTCTTTATTAATTAAGGTCACAGATGAATATGTATACACCCAAATATTTTAAAAATAATTTTTATTAAAATATTAAATAATAAGAATATTTATTCATTTATTTATTTGAAAGGCTGAGAGAGAGATCTCCCATTGGCTGGATCCCTACCCAAATGCCCACAGCAGTCAGACGCAAGCTCGGAGCCAGGAGCTCCATCAGTGTCAGGGCGTCGGGTACTTGAGTCATCATCGGCGACTTTCCAGGGCGTTAGCAGGGAGCTGGGTCAGAAGCAGAGTATCTGGAATTGTGATGTGGGGTGTGGGTATCCCCTGTGGTGACTTAATCCAATGCATCACAACACCTGTCCTTATATTAAACATTTTTAATGTGTTCATTTTATCAGTTTATTAACAAAAATTGAAAGAGTTCATTTTGAGTACCAGACAGTGTCTTAAGTGTTAAGGATTTAAGATATATACATGTTCTCAGTCTCTTTGGGAAGACAAATATTCATATAACATGATTACAGTAAATGAGCCATGTAAATATTGAAGTATGTGTTTGGAGAAATTCACATCAAGAGATGGCTTTTATGTTGGGTTTTGCAAATTTCCAAGCAAAACAAGTAGGAAATCACGTTATCAATTGAGAAACCGTCACTAGCAAATGAGTGGAATCATGATAGACTTTGTGTATTGAGGAGGTTTGTTCAGTGACTAGGGAGCATAGTCATAGTGGTTAGTTGATGACAAATTATGAATAAAGCTCTAATGTTTGTAGTTATCTTTAGCACTGCAAAACACAATCTAAAAAGGCTTTACTGGGCCCAACATTGTGGTACAGTGGGGTTAGCTGCCACCTGTAGCACCATCATCCCATATGAGCACCGACTCATGTCCCCGCTGCTCCACTTCTGATCCAGCTCCCTGCTGATGTACCTGGGAAAGCAGCGGAAGATGGCCCAAATGATTGGGCCCCAGCTATCCATGTGGGAAACCCAGATGACTTCTAGGCTCCTGGCTTTTACCTGGAGCTGCCCTGGCCATTTTGTCCATGTCCTTGGTCCACCTTCCACTGCTTTCCCAGGCCAGAGCAGAAAGCTGGATTGAGGAAAAGCAGCTGGGATTAGAACTGGCACCTGTATGGGATGCTGGCGCTACAGGCGGAGGATCAACCTACTATGCCACAGCACTGGCCCCTCCATTTTCTTTTAATTCTGCTTTCTAATATGTGAATGTTTTTTCTTTTCTTTCTTTTTTTTTTTTTTGACAGGCAGAGTGGACAGTGAGAGAGAAAGGTCTTCCTTTTGCCGTTGGTTCACCCTCCAATGGCCGCCGCGGCCGGCGCGCTGTGGCCGGCGCACCGCGCTGATCCGATGGCAGGAGCCAGGAGCCAGGTGCTTTTTCCTGGTCTCCCATGGGGTGCAGGGCCCAAGCACCTGGGCCATCCTCCACTGCACTCCCTGGCCACAGCAGAGAGCTGGCCTGGAAGAGGGGCAACCGGGACAGAATCCGGCGCCCCGACCGGGACTAGAACCCGGTGTGCCGGCGCCGCTAGGCGGAGGATTAGCCTAGTGAGCCGCGGCGCCGGCCTTCTAATATGTGAATGTTTTAAAAAAAGTTTTTATTATAAAAAACTGTTTCAAATATATATAAAATAGAGTAAATATTGTAAGAACTTCCAGTCAGATTCAATGATTACATTGAATTTGCTTTACCTACCCCTTTTTTCTTTTTCTGTGCTGATATACTTCTCTTTTAAATTTTTAAAAAAAGATTTATTTTTTTATTTGAAAGGCAGAGTTACAGAGATATAGGGAAAGAGGTCTTGCATCTGCTGCTTCACTGCCCAAATGGCTGCAGTGTCTGGAGCTGGGCCAGGCTGAAGCCAGGAGCCAGGAGCCATGAACTTTTGGATCTCCCGCATGTGTGTAGAGGTCCATCCTCCACTGCTTTCTTTTCTGCTGGTTCATTCCCCAAATGGTCACAATGGCTGCAGCTGGGCTGATCCTAAGCCAGGAGCCAGGAGCTTCCTCCAGGTCTCCCATGTGGATACAGGGTTCCAGGGACTTGGGCCCTCTTCTACTTCTTTCCCAGGCCATCAGCAGGGAGCTGCATGGGAAGTGTTGTAGCTGGGACTTGAACCAATGCCCGTGTGGGATGCCAGCACCGCAGGTGGCTGTTTAACCTACTATGCCCCAGTGCCCGCCCCCTGAGCATCAGTTTTTACACTTGTGAAATAGGGGCAACATTACCTGCTATGCAGGATGGTTGTGAGAATTTAACATATTAGTCAATGTGTGTTCCCTTTCTCTCATTTTAGACAGTTGAGAGCCTGTTTTGGTCATTTACACTGAAGGTGATCATGATAATTCAGAAGAAGTTAACAGTTTTAATTACTGGTGGTGGTGGTGGCAGCGGATGGCACAGGAGGCACACTGCAGCTTTATTTTAATGAAGGACTGAAATCCACTGGGCAGAGTGGGGGTAGCTGGGGAGTGAGGGTGAGGGAAGAACAGGAGCTTGCAGTCGGGGTGGAGGGGCGTGCCTGGGAGAACAGACTGCCTTGGCTGGGGCCGGTGGCAGCCAGGGGCTGGGAAGAGTGCGGCTCAGTAGTCAGACACTGACCTCAGAGAGGGCTGGGTTGAGTGATCTGTATTGAGCAGCGTCGTGCTGTTGGATTTCAGATGCATCCTAGCTGATTGCTCCTGATTGGGTAAGAGGTACTGAAGACGTGAAGGGTACAGTCTGGGTAAGGAGAATAAAACACCAGAAATACAGTTGGTGTTGTGGTTCCTCTTCACTGTCAAGATGGTGTCCATTTTTCAGGCCCATAGTGTATTAGTAGCTTTTCTTAAGGATTACTCCTGCACATCTCATTCTCTAGCCATAGTGAACTGTTTTCCCTGAAGTTGATATTTGTGCTCCCCTCCACTTCTTTATCTGAAGGCAGTTCTCCTTGCGACCTTTGGTAAATCCTTCAGGTTCAGACTCTTTTAGTCAGTCCCTTACGTACCAGGTAATATTAATGAATGTTTGCTGTGTGCTGTGTATTCAGCATCCATGGGAGTTCTTGCTCACAGCTGTTTCCTTCTTGGACTGAATCTCGGGTTCTCTCTTGGTGCTTCTCTTATGTTCTGGTCACAGTTCTGTGCTAAGCCTCGCCCACTCAGTCACTGCTGGCTTACGGATTTCCTCTACCAATATGCAAGGCCTTTGAGGTCAGGCAGTGTATCCTTTTCCACACTGCTTGGTCTTAGTACGGTGCCCAGTAAATGAACGCTTGTCGACTAAACCAGTAAATTAAAAGTGAGTAAATTTCAGGATCTGGCGATGGCAGTGAATATATAAAGGAAAAACATGTATCTTTGAATGTTATTGGCACTGAATATATAAAGGAACAACGTGTATCGTTGAGCATTGTTTCAGAAGTCGTGCCAGAGTGCCATGTCGGGAGTATGTGTGCTGGTGTGTGGCCTGTGGAGAATGGAGGGTCTCTGACATGGAAGGCCTTGTGTGCTATGTTTTGAACTTCTGACTTTCTTTTTTGCTTTATTGAAAACAAAGATTTGTGACTTTATGAATTTAGCATGAATGAGACTGACAACATCCACAATAAAATTAGCAATAATAAACATACTGAAATGATCAGGATTAGTACTCTTTATGCTTTTGCATCATCTCTAGATAAATACTTTTCTGTCTCATACTAAACTTTATTATTTATATCAACCAATTTTATTTTTCTTCTAGTGCCTATGTTGAAAAATACCTACTGGAGAAGTCCAGACTCGTTTACCAAGAGCATAATGAACGGTACATGTTTTTATTCATATAATTTTATACACTTATCATGCAGATTTACATGTAGGCTCTTTGTATATTTTTAAAATTTAAGATTTTTAGTTTGGTTTGCAACATACATTGCTTTATGCATCATTGCTGTTTCTTCTGTGGGTAGAACATTTTCTCAGAGGCTGCCAAGGTGCAGATTGCCCGGTTTTAGATGGGTGCCCGTTGTCAGAACTCAGGTGGCCCCTTGTTGCTAAGCAGCGTGCTTTGGATCTTTCATTCGTTTCTTGGTGTTCTTTGTCTAACTTGAGGACAGTTTGCAATAAAACTTTTTTTTTAAGAGTTATTTTAATTTTTGAAAGACAGAGTAACAGAGAGAGGTCTTCCATCTGCTGGTTCACTCCCCAGTTGGCCGCAACAGCTGGAGCTGTGGTGATCTGAAAACAGGAGCCAGGAGCCCTTTCCTGGTCTCCCACATGGGTGCAGGGGCCCAAGGACTTGGGCCATCTTCTACTGCTTTCCCAGGCCAAAACCGGTGCACTCAAACCGGTGCACATATGAGATGCTGGCATTGCAGGCACAGCGCCAGCCCCCAGTACAAGTTTAATCCCGTTGTATTACCCAGGTATATGGGACTGTAGAGAAGATCCTTGTAATACTCTTCACATGAAGACGCCAAGTGTCAGAGAGGTGTATAACGTGCCGTATGCTGTAGTGAGACATAATAAAGCTGAACTGGAGGTTAAAGTTACAGAGACCTGCGTTCACATTTTAGATACCTGCTTCTTCTTTTTTCCTGTCCCACAGAATGAAGACCATTCTGCAGTTCAGAGGATTATATGAAACATGTTAAAATCCTAATAAAAGCTCTGTAATTAAGAAAAATAAACTATAATAATTAAAAAAAGCTCCGTAATAAAAGCTCCCTGCAATAAGACTTGCAGGACTTACAAATGCACCTAACAGGCCGGCACTGTGGCTCACTAGGCTAATCCTCCGCCTGCAGCGCCAGCACACCAGGTTCTAGTCCCATTCGGGGTGCCGGATTCTGTCCTGGTTGCCCCTCTTCCAGGCCAGCTCTCTGCTGTGGCCTGGGAGTGCAGTGGAGGATGGCCCAAGTGCTTGGGCCCTGTACCCCATGGGAGACCAGGAGAAGCACCTGGCTCCTGGCTTCAGATCAGTGCGGTGCTCTGGCTGTGGCGGTCATTGGAGGGTGAACCAACGGCAAAAAGGAAGACCTTTCTCTCTGTCTCTCTCTCTCACTGTCCACTCTGCCTGTCCAAAAAAAATAAAATAAAATAAAAAATAAAAACAAACAAACAAAAAAAACAAATGCAGCTAACAGAGGGTGTTGGTAACTTTTTCTTTTCTTTCTTTTTTTTGACAGAGTTAGACAGAGAGAGACAGAGAGAAAGGTCTTCCTTTTCCGTTGGTTCATCCCCAAAATGGCCGCTATGGCTAGCGTTCTGCGGCCGGCACGCTGCGCCGATCCGAATCCAGGAGCCAGGTGCTTCTCCTGGTCTCCCATGTGTTCACCAAGTGCTTGGGTGCAGGGCCCAAGCACTTGGGCCATCCTCCACTGCACTCCCTGGCCACAGCAGAGAGCTGGCCTGGAAGAGGGACAACCGGGACAGAATCCGGCGCCCCAACTGGGACTAGAACTCTGGGTGCCTGCGCCTCAGGCATAGGATTAGTCAAGTTAGCCACGGCGGTGGCCGGTAACTTTTTCTAACACATTTTAATGATGTGGTGGGGATAGTAAGCCTTATTTTCTGAGTTTTGGACAATATATGGGTGGTGAAAATCCAGTTTACAAATTGATTTTCTGTCACTTTGATGGACTTGATTTACAAATGTGTGTACATATAATCCTATTATATGTGGGATTTGGTTTGCCAGTATTTTATTGAGGATTTTTCTCTCTGTACTCAAATATTACTGTAAGGGTTTTTTTTGTGATGTATTTGTCTTGTTTTGTTATCTAGGTCATTCTTTATTGAGTCATAGGATGAGATGTACATTTTTTCTCCCTATACATTTTTGGAAAAATTTGTACAGGATTGAGTTAATTGTTTTTATTTTATTTATTTATTTATTTTATTTTTGACAGGCAGAGTGGACAGTGAGAGAGAGAGACAGAGAGAAAGGTCTTCCTTTGCCGTTGGTTCACCCTTCTATGGCCGCCGCACCGGCACGCTGCGGCCGTCATGCTGCGGCCAGCTCACCACGCTGATCTGATGGCAGGAGCCAGGTACTTATCCTGGTGTCCCATGGGGTGCAGGGCCCAAGTACTTGGGCCATCCTCCACTGCACTCCTGGCCACAGCAGAGAGCTGGCCTGGAAGAGGGACAACCGGGACTAGAACCCGGTGTGCCGGTGCCTCAAGGCGGAGGATTAGCCTAGTGAGCCGCGGTGCTGGCCAAGAGTTAATTGTTTTTAAATGTTTGGTAGAACTCAGTGGCAAAGCCACTTTATTCTGGGTGTTTATTTGTGTCAAGTGTTTTGATTACTAATGCCAACTGTGATTGTCACAGATCTGTTTAGACTTTGAATTTCTTCTTTAGTCAGATTTGTCTGTTTTATCTAGATTATCTAATTTATTGCCAGAAAGTTATTTAAGGTAAGTGGTTAGTTTACAGATTTCTTTTCAAATAGAAGTTTATGGATAAAAGTTCCTCTAAGCACTGCTTCAGCTGTTTCCGTGTTTTGATACACAGGTGGCCCCCTGTGTCCATGGGTTCTGCATCTGGGGATTCAGCAGCCAACTGGCAGTTGAAAGTGTTTGGGAAGAAAAAATTACATTTGTACTGAACATGTGTAGGTTTTTCCTCCTTGTCAGTAACTGTTTACATGGTATTTATGTTATGCCAAGTGTTAGAGGGAACCTAGAAATAATTTAAAGGATGTGCATAGGTAATGTGCAAAATTATATGCCATTTTACAGAAGAGACGAGTGGATTCTACCACTAGTGATGGTATGGGGTGGTTTCCCTAGAACCAGTCTCCAGTAGGTACAGAGGGATGACCTTCGATTTTTTAAAAAAAATTTATTTATTTATTTGAAAGGCAGAATTATACAGAGAAATAAGGAGAGGTGGAGAGAGAGAGAGGTCTTCCTTCCGTTGGTTCGCTCCCCAGATGGCTGCAGTGGCTGGAGTTGTGCCAATCCATAGCCAGGAGCTTATTGCAGGTCTCCCACGTGGGTGCAGGGGCCCAAGGACTTGGGCCATCTTCCACTGCTTTCCTAGGCGATAGCAGGGAGCTGGATTGGAAGAGGAGCAGCCGGGACTAGAACCGGCGCCCATATGGGATGCTGGCACTGCAGGCGGTGGTTTCACTTGCTAGGCCCTGACCTTCTATTTTTGTTTTTGTACATCTCCAGAGTGTTTTGTAATTCTCTTGTGATTTCGTCTTTAGCTCATTGGTTACTTACTAGTATGTTGTTTCATTTCCATGTATTTGTAGATTTGGGAAGACTGTGTTAGTTTTCCAATTTCAAAGTAGTTGGAATAGTTGTTTGGAAGGTTTGTTATCCTTCTTGGAGTTTGTTCAGTGTCTTGGACATGCAGGTGTGTTCCACAGCTTTGGGGGAGTTTTTGGCAACTATGTTTAAAATATTTTTTCTTTCTCATTCTTTCCTCTCCTGACACTCATTATGTATATACAGGTCGCTGTGACTCTGTCCATTTTTCCTCATTGGTTTTTCTTCGTGTTCCTTAGGCTGGGTGGTTTCAGTTGACTTGTCCTCAAGTTCCGTGGATTCTTATTTCAGGTTCAGTGCCTACTCAGATCTGCTGTTTCATTTCAAATCTTTTATACAAAAAATTTATTTTTTTAAAGACAAGCCCACACATACATACATACGTGCACATACAGAGGGAGTGAGGGAGATTGATTCCACTTGCTGGTTCCCTCCTCAAGTGGCTGCAAGAGCTGGCCAGCTTGGATTGGGCTAGAGTGAAGCCAGGAGCCAGGAACTCTGCTGCAGTCTCCCAAACACATGGACCGTTACCTGCTGCCTATCCAAGTGCAACATCAGGGAGCCAGATTGGTAGTGAAGTAGCTGGAGCTGGAACTGGTACTCAGATGGGATGTGGGTATCCCAAGTGACATCTTAACCCAATGGGCCAGTAGCTGGAGCTGGAAGAAATTCTGAAGTTGTGGCCCATTGGGTTAAGATGTCACTTAACCCAATGGGCCACAACTTCAGAATTTCTTCTCATTTTCTTACAGCTTCTGTATACTTATTAATCGTTACTGTTTGATGTGACCTAATTCTCATACTTTTCTTTAGCTTACTAAATAGAAATGATTCTTCTAGTTGTCTGGTCATATTTAATGAGCTGATTCAAACCTTGTCTAGTGAAATCTAATCTGGGTTTCTCAGAGACAGTTACTGTGATTGTGTTTCTCCCTGCTATGGGCTGTATTTTCTGTTTTCCTTGCATGCCTGTAACTTTTATTTTTGTTGTTGATAATTTGAATATTTAAAGTAACATGATGTGACAACCATAGAGAAGAGTTGTCATCCTCCCAGGGCTTGTAGTTATTGTTTATCCCTGCTGTTCGTTTTTTTTCTGACTTCCTGAACTAATTTTGCAAAAACTTCTATACTTTTTTTGAGTGTGGGGCAGTCAGATATCTGCTTGTTTAACTTAGTTGTCAGATGACAATTGCACAGAGATTTCTGTAAGTACTTAGAAACAGTAAGATTCCCCAGACTTTGTCATGGGACCCTGTGTATATTGGACTGTGCCTTTTTTTTTTTTTTTAAGATTTATTTATTTGTTTTTTAAATTTTTTAATTTTTTGTCAGTTAAATTTTTAAAAAATTCTATTTAAGGTATACAAACTTCATGCATTTCATAAACACAAATTTAGGAACGTAGTGATTTCTCCCACCCTATCCTGCCTCCCACCTGCACTCCCATCCTTCTTCCTCCTCCCTCTTCTATTCCTATTCTTATTTTTTACTAAGATTTATTTTCAACTAACTTTACACATGTAAGATAAGTCCTACACTAAGTAAACAGTTCAACATATACGCTTTTTAAAGCTTTTAAGCTTTTTGATTAGCTTGTGACTTGCCTTGATTCTACCCAATGCTTCATACAGCTGGAGCGTGCTACAGATGTATCTGTGGGAGATTTTTGCATCATGGGAACTTTGAATCAGGTCATGTAAAGTCAGTCTTAAATATAGTTTCTTTCAAGGCCGGCGCCGCGGCTCACTAGGCTAATCCTCCGCCTAGCGGCGCCGGCACACCGGGTTCTAGTCCCGGTCAGGGCGCCGGATTCTGTCCCGGTTGCCCCTCTTCCAGGCCAGCCCTCTGCTGTGGCCAGGGAGTGCAGTGGAGGATGGCCCAGGTGCTTGGGCCCTGCACCCCATGGGAGACCAGGAAAAGCACCTGGCTCCTGGCTCCTGCCATCGGATCAGCGCGGTGCGCCGGCCGCGGCGGTCATTGGAGGGTGAACCAACGGCAAAGGAAGACCTTTCTCTCTGTCTCTCTCTCTCACTGTCCACTCTGCCTGTCAAAAAAAAAAAAAAAAAAAAAAATATATATATATATATAGTTTCTTTCAGGGGATCAGCAGACAGTGAGGTAATGGTACGTCTTACGGACTGAGGCTCTGTTCAATCTCTCAGCCTGTTCTGCCCCTTCTGGTGGCTGCCCATTTTCTGGTGTCCACCATTGTAGACCATTGGTGTCGAGGGCACCTGTGGAGTTGATGAGCTGGGCATAGAGTAGGACAAATAAAATGCTGCAAAAGATTCTGCTGTTTTTCTCTTTTCTTTTTCTTTTTTCTTTTTAAAGATTCATTTACTTATTGGAGACACAGAGGCAGAGGGAGAGAGGGAGATCTCCTATCCACTGGTTCACTCCCCAAATGGCCTCAACGGCCAGAGCTGGGCCCATCTGAAGCCTGGGCCAGGAGCTTCTTCCTGGTCTCTCCACAGGTGCAGGGGTCCAAGGGCTTGGGCCATCTTCCACTGCTTTACCAGGCTATAGCAGAGAACTGGGTCAGAAGTGAAGCAGCCGGGACTCGAACTGGCGTCCACATGGGATGCCAGCACTGCAGGCGGTGCCTTTTCTTGCTATGCCACAGTGCCGGCCCCAGCTGTTTTTCTTGAGTAAACTTAACTCTTTGGATGACTGCAAGCTTTTGGCTGATTTCTACAATTTTAAAAAAAGTTACTTTTGGTAAATTTGCCAGGTTTCCCTTGGTGCTATGGACGAGAGGTTTTTCAGAGGTCTTAACATTGCTGTTTTGTTGACTTTATCCTTTTCTGTGTGTTCCACATCTAAAAAAGGTCATTTTTTTTGTAGGAATACTTACTGAACTTACCATGTTTTTCTTAAGAAAATGAAACAAAGCTGATGCATTTTACTGTTAAATGATAACCATAATTCATGCTCATTATAAAGCTATCTTTCATTTCCAACAGGAACTACCATGTATTCTATTACCTCCTGGCAGGCGCAAGTGAAGAAGAGAGGTTAGCATTCCACCTTAAACAGCCAGAAGAGTATCACTATCTCAATCAGGTGAGAAGGGAGTTCATGGCATTCTGAAATGTAGGGCGCTGTTCAACTTTCGCTTTTTCACTAGTACTTTGTTTCCCATATCTAGTGGTAGGTATTAACTAGCACTTTCACACATGCAATCTAAAAATTTCTGTGGTACAACTTTTAAATATAAAAATTAGTATCATCATCATCATATCAAAATATTAGTTTATATATGTTTTGTTTTTTGTATTTTGTAATTTTCTTTAAGAAAATTATTAGCTGTTTATTCAAACTTCAGTGTTAGAACAATGATTTATGCTTTCCAGAGTGATTTGCCTTCCCCACTCCTGGGGTGACAAGTGTTCCTGATGATTAGTGCTTTTCTCTGTAAGGGAGTACTTGGAAGCTTGTTTTACATGTTTTGAAGTCTGGCATGCACACCTCTGCCTGATATTATTATGTTGACCTAGAGCATGACTATATAATATAATTGACAGTCCTTTCAAATATGCAGCATGAAGTTCGTCAAAGGCAAATGGCTCAGAAAACTTGGATCTTTCTTCAGAACGCGGCATTTACTCCTGAGCTTCCACAGGCAGGAGTAATCCACAACTTCTCATGAAGTGATGTTGTCTAGTTTTATTGTTACCCATATTCACAAGAATTGTGAAGTCAATAGTAATGGAACTGGTATGAGGTACTGCTTAAATAACAGATCTATCTCCTTTTTAAAAATTGTTTGAAGATGTAATGTCTGGAAATCCTTACAGAGATTTTGTAATTAATTGACACTTTGATGACTCAAAGATTTGAGTGTGTATTTAGGGTTTTAAAAGTTCTTAGGCTTTTTTCCAAGATACATAGTGTGCTATTTCTTTCCTTTTTAAAAACCATTTATTTATTTATTTGAAAGAGTTACAGAGAGAGAGAGAAAGAGAGAGAGATCACTTACCTGCTGATTCACTTCCCAAATGGCAGCAGTGGCTTTGCTGCGCCAGACTGAAGCCAGGAGCTTCTTCCAGGTCTCTCTTATGTGTGTCAAGAGGCCCAGGCCCTTGGGCCATCATCCACTGCTCTCTCAGGCCATTAGCCTGGAGCTGGATTGGAAATGGAGTAGCTGGGACACAAAATGGTGCTCACATGGGATACTGGCATCACAGGCACAGGTTTAACCTATGACACATTGGCCTGCTATTTATTTTTTAATTTTGACCCTATTAATATAAAGTAACCTGCCTTTGTATTAGTGATAGTACTTCCAAAAGTTCATTGAAAATGGAATAAAAAGAAAAGTTTATTTTGGAGCAAGAATATTTACTTATTATTTTTTAAAGATATATTCATTTATTTGAAGGTCAGAGTTAGAGAGATCGAGAGAGAGAGAGAGAGAGAGAGAGATCTTCCATCTGCTGGTTTACTCCCCAGATGGCTCCAATGGCTGGAGCTGAGCTAGATCGAAGCCAGGAGCTTCTTCCAGGTGTCTGACATGGGTACTGGGGGCCCAGGTACTTGAGCCATCTTCCCCTGCTATCCCAGGCTTATTAGCGGAGAACTGGATTGGATGTGGAGCAGCTGGGACTTGAACTGTTGCCTATAGGTAGCTTTACCTGCTATGCCACAGCACTAACCTCTATGAAAATTTAGAAATCCATGCCTATGAGGAGTCTTCAAAAGGTTAATGAAAAATATTATAAAAAAAATGATGCATGGATTTAAAATTTTTTTGCACCAAAATAAGCTTTTCTTTTAATTCCATTTTTCACAAATGTGTTGAAATACTGTGTGTATCAAGAATTTTAGTCATTCATATTTACACTTTCTGTAAATTTTTACTGTACAGAATTTAATAGATTAAAAAAATTAATTCAGCTTATTAATTTTCACTCCCATTTAAACTACTTGCATTATATTTAGATGATTAAAATATTTATTTATTTGAAAGGCAGAATGACAGAGAAATGGATAAAAGAGTGGGAGAGACAGAAAGAGAGAGACATATCTTCCATCTATTGTTCACTCCTTAGAAGGCCTCATCTGCCTGGGCTGTGCCAGGCTGAAGCCAGGAGCCAGGAACTCCATCTGGGTCTCCCACACGTGTGGCTGGGGCCCAAGCACTTGGGCCATGCTTCACTGCTTTCTCAGGAGCATTAGCAGGAAACTGAATGGAAAACAGATCAGCTAGGACTTGAACAACTGTGCCTGTATGGGGCGCCATGGTCACAGGCAGCAGTTTAACCCACTGTGCCACAGTGCTGGTCCCTGATATTTTCTTTTTTTTTTTTCTATGAAGTAATATCACCCAAGAATCAACTGATAGTTGGTAATAGTAGAGAAATTTGGAGTTTGGTTGTCTGGATATTTTTGTAATTACTAGGTATAATATAGTCTTGTCCCAATATTAGCATTGATAGGATATGGGATTTTCCATTTATACAAGTGCCAGTTGTATACTGAAACTGGGGTGTATGGGTTGGGCAGAGTCTGAATGTTGGGTCAGGGCTGTCACGCAATAGGTTAAGCTGCTGTCTGTGATGCCGGCATCCCACGTGGGTACCGGTTCCAGTCCTGGCTGCTCCTCTCCTGACTCAGCTCCCTGCTAACGTGCCTGGGAAAGCAGTGGAAGATGGCCCAAGTCCTTGGGCACTTGCACCCACATGAGAGACCTGGAAGAAGTTCCTGGCTCCTTACTTTGGATTGGCCCAGCTCCGGCCATTGCAGTCATTTGGGGAGTGAACCAGTAGACAGAAGATCTCTCTCTCTCTCTCTTTCCATCTGACTTCCTTTCTCTCTCTCTAACTAACTAACTAAATAAATATTTTTAAAAAAGAATCTGAATGTTAACTGTTGTTTCTTGTTTCATGTTGCTATGCTTAATAACATTTTTTGCATAACAGCCGTGCTAACTGAAGTTTAGTAACCATCACCTCACCTAACTAATCTGCCTTACTTTCAGATAACAAAGAAACCCCTCAGACAGAGCTGGGATGATTATTGCTATGACTCTGAGCCGGTCAGTACAAGAACTTAAATACTCTGTGTTCCTGTTAGTGGGCCCTCACGCTGCTCATTTTTGTCTCTTTTATGACTTAGAATGAAAATCACTGAAATACAAAGACTTCTAGAAAAGAAGATAAAGCAGTGTTTAATTTTTTTCTGTGATTTGTATGTGTGTGGTTTGTGGACTAAAAACCAATCCACTTGGGGACAGTGTTGTGCTCAGGGGTTTTAGCTGCCACTTGTTATGCCAGTGTCTCACATCAGAGTGCTGTTTCCAGTCCTGACTGTTCCATTTCTGATCCAGTTCCCAGCTAATGTGCCTGGGGAAACAGAGGATGATGGTCCAAGTACTTGGGCCCCTGCACCAATGTGGCAGACCTGCAAGAAGCTCCTGGCTCCTGGTTTCAGCCTGTTGGAGCCATCTGGGGAGTGAACCAGCAGATGGAAGATCTCTATCTAACTTTGCCTCTCCTTTTATGTAACTCTGCCTTTCAAACAAATAAATAAATCTTAAAAGAAAAAAACACAATGGGGCTGGAATTGTGGTATAGCAGGTTAAGCCTCCTCATGTCATGCTGTCATCCCATATGGCTACTGGTTCAAGTCCTGGCTGCTTCACTTCCAATCCAGCTGCCTTCTAATGTGCTTGGGGGACCAAGGGATGATGGCCCAAGTGGGAGACCTAGAAGAAGCTCCTGGCTCCTAGCCTTGGATGGGCTGAGCTCCAGCTATTGCTCTCCCTCCCTCCCTCTCTCCTTCCCTTCCTCCCTCCCTTCCCTCCCTTCCCTCCCCTCTCTCTCTCTCCTCCTCCTCCTCTTCCTCTCTGTGTATAACTCTGCTTTCTTTTCTTTTTCTTTTCTTTTTTTTTTTTTTTTGAGAGGCAGAGTGGACAGTGAGAGAGAGAGACAGAGAGAAAGGTCTTCCTTTTGCCGTTGGTTCACCCTCCAATGGCCACCGCGGCTGGCGCGCTGCGGCTGGCGCATCGCGCTGATCCGATGGCAGGAGCCAGGTGCTTCTCCTGGTCTCCCATGCGGGTGCAGGGCCCAAGCACTTGGGCCATCCTCCACTGCGTTCCCGGGCCATAGCAGAGAGCTGGCCTGGAAGAGGGGCAACCGGGACAGAATCCGGTGCCCTGACCGGGACTAGAACCCCATGTCCCGGCGCTGCAAGGCAGAGGATTAGCCTATTGAGCCGTGGTGCCGGCCTCTGCTTTCAAATAAATAAATGAATCTTAAAGAAAACCAAAAAACAAAAACACATTTTTCCTTTAGCGTTCAGTGAAGGTCAGATGTAGAAGGCTGAATACGCACAGATACCTATACTTAGTAATTAACTAATGAATTAATCATTAGATAATGTTTCTGGAAACATTATATGTCTTCATTCATTCCTGCTTTAAAAAACTGTGTTTTTTTTTATTTTTTATTTTTATTTTTTGACAGGCAGAGTGGACAGTGGGGGAGAGAGAGAGAGAGAGAGGGAGAGAGAAAGGTCTTCCTTTTGCCGTTGGTTCACCCTCCAATGGCTGCTGCGGCCAGCGCGCTGCGGCCGGCGCACCACGCTGATCTGATGGCAGGAGCCAGGTACTTATCCTGGTCTCCCATGGGGTGCAGGGCCCAAGGACTTGGGCCATCCTCTACTGCACTCCCTGGCCACAGCAGAGAGCTGGCCTGGAAGAGGGGCAACCGGGACAGAATCCAGCACTCCGACTGGGACTAGAACCCGGTGTGCCGGCGCCGCAAGGCGGAGGATTAGCCTAGTGAGCCGCGGTGCTGGCCACAAACTGTTTTTAATTTCCACTGCTTGTGATTATAAACTCCACTAATTGTAAATCTAGCTTATCTGAGTTTAGTAGGAATCGGGTATGTGTATGTTTTTCCTTTAAAACAAAGTTTAGACCGGCGCCACGGCTCAATAGGCTAATCCTCCGCCTGCGGCACCGGCACACCAGGTTCTAGTCTCGGTCAGGGCACCGGATTCTGTCCTGGTCGCTCCTCTTCCTGGCCAGCTCTCTGCTGTGGCCCGGGAGTGCAGTGGAAGATAGCCCAAGTCCTTGGGCCCTGCACCCGCATGGGAGACCAGGATAAGCACCTGGCTTCTGGCTTCGGATCAGCGCAGTGCGCTGGCCACAGCGGCCATTGTGGTGAACCAACGGAAGGAAGACCTTTCTCTCTGTCTCTTTCTCTCTCTCACTGTTCACTCTGCCTTTCAAAAAAATAAACAAAAAAAGACAAAAATTAAAAAAAAAAACACAAAGTTTAGTTGCATTATCTTTTCATAATAAATCGAGTGGTTTTTTGTTTCAGAATTGAAATTTTGGAAAATAAATGGGCATTTCAATTGATGCCAATAATTTTTTTCCAGCTTTATTTATTTATTTGAAAGGCAGTATTAGAGGGAGAAAGAAAGATCTTGTATGCTGTGGTTTATTTCTCAAATGGCTGCAAAGACTGGAGCTTGACAAGGCCAGAGGTAGGAGCCAGGAACTCCATTTGCGTCTCTGATATTTTGGGTAGCAGGGGCCCAAGTACTTGGGCCATCTTCCACTGCTTTCCCAGGCACATTAGCAGGGAACTGGATCAGAAATGGCGTAGCCAGGATTTGAACCAGTGCTCATATGGGGTGCTGTCATCTTTGGCAGTGGCCCCTCTGGTACATTTTAATAGACGAGTTGTAGCCATTCTGCCATTCTGCAAAGCTCACCCTTTCCATCTTTCACTCTGCACCAGGTGAGGGGTGGAGAGCAGATGGACATTGAATTCACAGTACACCTAGGAGAATTAGTGTTCCATGGGGTGCTCCTTCTATGTTCCCTGACAGATTAAGCTTTGTTTTTTTTTTATGAAATTTTTTAGTTATATGTGTAGCATTGCAGGCAGAGAGGAATATTCCGTTGGTGCTGTATTTTATAGAATATTGTAAAGGTCTCGGGGGACCTATACTGAGGAAATTGCTTTCTATACGGAAGCTGTTGTTGCCCATTGTATGGAGACTTATTTCCCTTCAAGCTGCAGCGTGGGATGGGAGACAGTAGTGGGTTGGCCAGTCCTGTTATCTACAGGGTTTTTGGCCATGAGCTCATTTTCTAACCCCTGAAATTGTTTTTATGCCTATACAGGTATATATAATGTCCTCTTTGTGTTTTGAGAATTTAATGAAGTTATACATATCAAGTGACTCTTATGGTGACTGATGCATAAAAGATATTCACTAAATATCAGTTTTCTATCTTCAAGTAGTGATAATTCTGACAATGAATTGAATACTGATGTAATATATTGGCTGTTGTCTGCTATTATTGTACCTTAAAGCTGGTGTGACTACCATCAGGGTATAAAGTTTGTCTCTCCCATTCTCTGTTTATCTGAACCAAGCCTTGAATTGCAGGGTGCAGCTGTCAAGTAGGGCTTTGATGGTCATTGTTACAGTAAGCGGTAGTCTTATAGCCCTGCATGTGTGTGCTGCACAGGGAGTTGAGCCATACTCCAGCCTTGGTCACTGCTACCTGTATAGGGATGCAGGCGTGTATGTTTTCCCGTGAGGTGGGCCTGCTACAGTCAAGCAGAATCTCTTGAAACAATTCACTGTGTTCTGATACTTCTGTAGCACGAAGATTCCTACTTCCACACGCTCTGCGTTTGTAAGTTTGTGATCACTCTTTCAGACAGCGTCTTTCTGGCTTTATTCCTCACTCTCTGCAGGTCCACTATGAGGCCTCTGCATGCTGCACACCATTCTCTAGTTAAAAATATTCTACTTATTTATTTGTTTACTTTTTAAAAAAAAGATTTGTTTATTTCAAAGGCAGATTGACTGGCAAAGGCTAAGAGAGGGAGGTAGGGAGGGAAGGAGAGAGAGAGAGAGAGAGAGGGAGGGAGGGAGGGAGGGAGGGAGGGAGGGAGGGAGGGAGATATGTATTCTGTCTGCTATTCATTCCCCAGATGGCTGCAATGGCCAAAGCTGTGCCTATCCGAACCCAGGAGCTAGGAGCTTCTTCCTGGTTTCCCTCATGGGTGCAGGGGCCCAAGGACTTGGGCCATCTTCCACTGCTTTCCCAGGCCACAGCAGAGAGCTGGATTGAAAGTGGAGCAGGCGAGACTGCAGCTGGCGCTCATATGGGATGCTGGCGCTACAGCGGCAGCTTTATCTGCTAAGCCACAGTGCCAGCCCCATATTTATTTACTTTTAAACATCTACTTATTTATTTGAAAGGCAAAGTTATGGAGTGAGAGGGAGAGACAGAGAGAGAGAGAGACAGAGACGAAGAATGAATATCTTCCATCCATTGATGCACTCCCCAAATGGCTACAGTGGCCAGGACTGGGCCAGGTTGAAGCCAGGAGCCAGGAACTTCCTTCTGGTCTCTCTTGTGAGTGCTGGGGACCAAGTGCTTGGGCCATCTTCCTCTTCTTTCCCAGGTGCCTCAGCAGGGAGCTGCATAGAAAGCAGAGCAGGAGGAACACAGACTGTTGCCCATATGGGATGCTGGCATCACAGGTGGAGACTTGGCCTTCTTTGCTCCATGTTTTTCCTTTTACAAAGCGTTTAACATCCTTATTGTGTTTGATTCTTCTAAAAACCCTTGGTTGTAGTCAATATGATTACCTTTCACAAAGAAGCAAGTTGCTCTATGGTGGTAAAGTTGATTAATAGTGTAACTGGGATTCCAGCTACATCTATATTCTTGTGCATCTTTACTAACCACTTTTGTTTTTCAATAGATTTTTTTTATTTATTTAAAAGGCAGAACTTACAGAGAGGGATGGAGAGGAGGAGAAAGAAAAAAATGCTTTCCATTCACTGGTTCTCTCCTCAAATGGCTTCTGGGCCATCCTGAACCCAGGAGCCTGGAACTCCATCCAGGTCTTCCATGTGGGTGGCATGGGCACAGGCGCTGGGAGCCTGGGACTCCATCCGGGTCTTCCATGTGGGTGGTATGGGCACAGGCACTGGGAGCCTGGGACTCCATCCGGGTCTTCCATGTGGGTGGCATGGCACAGGCACTGGGAGCCT